GGTAGGATTGCTGGTTTCTTTTCTGGGGCTCAAAAAAACACGCTAAGATAACAGGGATATCTTGTACCCCTACTTACACTTTGGTCACACTTCAAAAGGGCCGCCAGCATAAAATATTAATTTCATAAATCTAGGTTTTTTTCCCTTTTTTTAAATGCTCTTTTTCTTTTTTATTTTTTCTTTTGTCCATGGGGGAAATGGAAAAAAAAATTTTCCTCCGTAAGCCCTGGGTCGTATGAGGCGGGCCCAAAATGCCGGGGGAAAACAAAGGGCTAAAATAACCCCCTTTTCCTGTATACATTTTTAAAAAAAGAAAGGGGAAAAAAAAATTTATAAAAATGGGTTTCTTTAAAAGTGCGTGGATGTAGTGCCGGGGAAAAAAAAGAAAACGGGTGAAATTGGGGTGGTTTTTATTTAAGAAAAGAAATTGGATGTCCTGGCCCCAAGCGAAACAAAGCTTTTTGGGGGGGGAGGGAGTTTCAGTGGGGGGGAAAAAAATTGGGGTTAAATTCTGGAGTATTGGGAGTTTTTAGCAAAAAGGAAAGGGGGGTAATAGTAGTAATGTTAATGATCAAGGGTTTTGGGGGGAAAGGAAAAAAAGGAATATGAATGGGGTAAAATTTAAGAATTTGGGATTTTAAAATAAAGGTTTGGGTGCGGAAAAAAGTGGGTTTTAATAAGCGTGTATGCACCTGGAGAAGAGAGGGGAAAGAAAAGGAGAGGGGAGAATTTTGGGAGTTTTTAAGTGAATGGGATAGGGGCCCTTTTAACCCAAGTGAGAGAGTAATTGTTTGGGAGGGGACTTTAATTGCTAAGTAGGAGAAACCCTTTTGAGAGGGGTGTGTTTGGGAGGTAAGTTTTTGGGGTGGAGGGTTGTAAATGATTTAAAGGGGGAGCCCCTTTTATTGAACTTTGTTTTAGAAAGGGGTTTTTTAGTTATGGTAATACATATTTTTAAAAAAAAAGAGGTTTAAAAAAGGATCACGTTATGGGTGTAGGGCGAAATTTACAGTAGTTTTTTTTTGGGTTAGGGTTTTGGGAGATAAAGACTTTTTTTGGAAATAGACTTCGGAATTTTACATGTTTTTTAGAGGGGGCCCAGATTATCGGGTCCTTTTAGTTGTTGCTACAATGAGAGTAAAAGGTAGAAAGGGAAAACAAGGAGAAAGACGAACAGGGAAGAGAGAGGTTTAAGGTTTATAAAATAAAAAAAGGAGGGGAGTTAGGGGGGTAAGTTTTAAAAAAACTTTTTGGAGGAAGATGGGCTAATGAGGCATAGGCAATTGGGGGTTTGAAGAGGTAGGGGGAGGGTTTAAAAATTTTAGTGTTTTGAGGTTTTTCAGCAGAAGTTTGTGGTTCAGGGGAAAATGGGGGGCAGGAGGGAAGAGGAGGATTGTGGGGAAAGGAAAGATTGTAAAAAGAGTAGTAAGGGGAAAAAAGTTAGCATATGAGAAGTTTTTACAAAGTAGAAAATGAAAGGGAAAAGGGGGGAAAAATATTGGAAGGGAAAAAAAGAGAAATTAAGAGAGTGGGTTTAAGCAATGTAAAAAAAAAAGCAAATGAGAGAAATGGGTGAGTGTTATCAACAAATTTTGTTGAAAATAAGAAAAAATTTTGGAAATGAGATTTAAAAAGTTAAGAAAGCCTAGAGAACAAAAGGATTTGGCAGTTAGAAATAGGGGAGGAGGTTATAAATGGAGGTTAGAAAGGGATTTGGGAAATGGGAAGGGGAAAATTTTGGGGGAATTGTTTTAAAAGTTGATGAAGGGTAGGGGAAACTGTGATTTCGTGTAATTTGGGCAAAGGAGGTTTTAAAATTTTTGTAGGAGTGAGGGGAAAAGCCAGTTTTGAGTGTGGGGGAAGTTGTGGGCCGTAGGTAAAATGAAAAGGGGGGAAGGCAGCCGGGAAATTTATGGGGGTAAAGATAGAAATGTTTAAAAAACCCTTTGGGGGTATGTTTTTTGGGGGTGGTTGGTGAATTATTTAATAAATGTATGGAAGAGGGTAAGGAACCCAGGGGTTGGCATGAGGCATGCATAGTTCCTTTGTATAAAAGGCCAAAAGGGGGTAAAAGAAAAAGTGCAAAAATTTTTAGGGGGATAAGTCTGTTGGTGTTTCCCGGTAAATGGATGGTAGAGTTATAATTGAAAGAATTTAAAAGGTTTTGACGGAGAATGGTAGCGATGAAAAAAGGAGGCCCTTTTGGGGAAAAGGTTTGGGGGGTGTGTGGACCAGGTTTTTTACGGGAAAAAATATAAGGTTTAACCCGTATTTTTGTTTAAAGGGTAAAGGGGGGTCTTTGTGGCATTTTTTGGATTTTGGGAAAAAGGGGGTTTTGACAAAGGGTTTGGGTAGGGGGGCAATGTGGGGGTGTTTCAAGGGGTATGGGGGTAGGAGGGTAGGTTTCTGAAAGCGTGAAGAGTTTTTACGAGGGGTAGTGAGGCTCCAAATTAGAGGGTTTTAGGAAAAAGGGAAATTTTTTTTCCCGGGAAAAAAAAGGCCTTAAAACAAGGGTGGTATGTCCCCCGTGGTTGTTTTAATATATTTTTAGATGGGGGGTTTTAAGGAAGTAAATGCGAGGGTTTTTGGCAAAAAGGGCGTGGGTTAAAAAATTTAAAAAATCCCCAAAAAAAGTGGGAGTTTGTCCAGCTGCTCTTTGCTGATGACACTGTGCTCTTGGGGAGATTCTGAAGAGAAAAATTTCAGAGATTTGGGGGATGAATTTGGTGGGTGGCCCAAAAAAAGAAAATTAAAGGTGAATACAGGAAAAAAGTTTTGGTTATGGGGGTAACAAAAAAAATTTTGGTGATTTAAAAATTTTAAAATTTGAATTTGGGGGGAGAGGTTTTTGGGGGAGGTGGGAAGTTTTTCAGATATTTGGGGGTGGACGTGTCAGCGGAAAGGGGCTTTGAAAGATGAGGGAATATAGAATTTGATGAGGGAAAAAAAAAATGAGTGGTGCCCCTTTTTGGAGGTCTGTGGAGACAAAGAACTTTGTCCTTGGGGGCAAAAGAGGGGAATGTTGGGGGTTAGTTTTACCAACCCCTCTTATATGGGTGGGGAAGCGTGGGTGATGAAAAGTTTTCGCGAGGGGGAAGGGGAGGGGGTGGAGATGTCTTTTTGAGGGCCCAATTTTTTGTTTTGGGGTGAATATAATGCAGAGAATTCGTTTGTTTTGGGAAATTAGGAGGAGGTGCGGGGGTTTCCAAAAAAGTTGTCCCGGGGGCGGGGAAGGGGTTTGGGTTTAGGTGGTTTTGGACATGTAGAGGATGGAGCGAAAAAGAATGACTTCAAGAGTTTTTCAAATTGTAGTGGAAGGAAAGGGGGGGGGGGTAGGGGGCGGGTAAAGGGTGGGGTTTGGGGGGGGGGGGTAAAAGGGGGTTTTGTGTGCGAGGGGCTTGGACTTTCCCGCAGGGGGATGCGTGAGCGTGTTTGATAGGAGTGAATGGAGACAAATGGTTTTTTTTTAAAATTGCGTGCTGTTGGAAATTTTGAGCCCAAAGTAACATTTATTTAAGGGATTCAGGGGGAAAACCGGGGAGGCCGGAAATTGAGGGGCCCTTTGGGAGGGGGGGAAGTACAGTGCCTGCACTCTGAAGGAGGGGGTGTTAAAGTTTTCAGTTTTAAAACTGTAGGGGTTTTAAAAACTCCTTCTGGGAAGACGTTGGATGGGGGGAAAAGATGGTGAAAGTTTTTCTTTTTCGGGGCCCCCCTGCCTTGGGGGGAAACGGGGGGTTTTTGGGTAATAATAAAAAAAAAAAAAAAAATTAGTTTTTGTCTTATTAGTCTTTCGACAGACTTAAATCACCCTTTTATCAACCTTCTTTGTACAAACATTTTTGCCTTGCTGAAATAAAGAATTTTTTTATTTTTGCACGGGGAAGGATTGGGGGGGGAAAAAAAGAATTTTTTTTTTAAAAATGCGCACGCCCCCCACACGCACCCCTTTTTCCATGTCTAGGGGAAAAAATTTTTAATCACAATAATTGAGAGATGTGTTTTAAAGTGTTAAAATTGATTAAATTTAACCGGCATCAGTGATGGAAAAAATTTTGTGGGGAGAGTGCAATGAGGGGGGGAGGCAGTGGAGATTTTTCAAGCCACAGAGTTTGTGTGTGATTTCCGATGGCCCTTTTAAAGAAATTTAGAGCATGGACATTAGAAGACAATGTAGGGTTACAACAGGTATTTCAGTATTTAACTGGCAGAAGAGTTGTTGAGAGGATGGAAAAACACAGTGGTAGGAGGAAGGTAGGGGTGATCCCAGGAAGCACTGGAGGGAGAAGAAGTGAAGAAAGTTTTATGTGGTAGTGGCTTGAGCATCTGGCAGGCATGTGAGCATGTTAGACTGACTAATTGGACACAAGTGGTTATAAGGATTTGACATATTGCTGGAGTGTTAGCCCAGTGACATTTATAAATGAACTCAGGGGAAACTGGTAGCCAGATTTGAGTTCTGGTGGTAAGAAATAAAGTGCCATTACTCTGAAAGACAAGTATAGATGTTGCAGTTTAGAAAGTCATTTGAAATGTGTTGTCTGCACTCTTCTGGGAAGACAGCTATTGAATGAATAATGGTGGGAGATGGCCATTCTGCTAAAAAAAAAATGTTCTGTAAATTCGGGGAATCTATCCAACCATTATTATTTCCCATTTTTCTTCTTCATGATTGGAGAAGACATAGCTTTTAATTGAGAGATTAAGAAAATGGGGGTTGCTGGTTGAATCTTCTCTACATCTATCACAAGGATATGGAACTTTTTGTACCACCAAGTAGTAGGTGGTAGGGATGTCATAGACAAAACTTGCATAAGTTTAATTACCTTGTTATTTTCATCACACTTTTATTCTTGCTGTGCATAGCTTTCATAAATGCTTTAAAAGTATGAACTAAATAACTCATATATACAAAACCATTACATGTAATTTTTATGTGTTTGACTTGTAAATGCATTAAAGGAATTGATGTTTTTATTGCTTAAAGTTCTTCCTTCTTATAGGCACGCAAAGTGGAGTATAAAGACAAAGATGCTGAGGAGTGGCTGTCATTCATGCGTGAAGTTTCTGCTGCTGAACAACAGAGTCGAATGATCATCGAAGAGGACAAAGAAGAAGCAGCCTTAGCAACTCAGATTGAACAAGCCAATGAACAGATTGCATGCTTAGAAAGGTTGGAAAATTTTATCTAGTAAAGATAACATATTTATTTTACATGCCTGACAAATTGTAAAGGTAGATTGGTAAAACATCTATTTTACAAACTTTTGAAATACAAGAAAATCTGCTGGATCAGTTGATTCAGAAACAAAGGACTAAGTCCATTGGTTACAGATTTGTCCACTATTATTACAATCACAGCAAATTCAGCACATTCACCATTATCAGCCACCTGTGATCCCTTATTAATTATTCAAATCGAGGTGTTACTCGCAGTCTAATTATTACTTTACTGAATATTACCCAGAAGGAATTGTACCCCTGAAAGTAATTCTCTATTCTCTATAAGGATTACAAAGCAGGGTTTACAGATTTTGGTTATTGTGTGGTTTACATGTAATAAAATACTAATTACAGAGGGGGCCACTAGAACACCTAGCATGGCTGGGCATTTCGGGCAAACTTAGTTAAATTTATCCCCAAATTTACCCAAATTGTTGGATGGGGTTGATAAATTTACATATGACTAAATTTTATTTTATTTGGCTAATGTGAATCTTTTGTTTGTGGCACACTTTTACCAAATATATTATAGTGGACCCGATACAGGCAGAACATTTCCTAGTTAAGGAATTTATCAAATTTTAAGTTTAAAAAGATACGATTTCTGTCTAAGCGTCCAAGGGTGTGGGGAAGTAATGTGCCTCCGGTTTGTTTTAAGAGTTCGGGTGGAAACATGAAATAAATTTGTTTTACGGTATTTGGGTGTGATTCTGGTAATTTTTAACCATGGGGCCAAAAATTTTAGTGCCCCTTGGAAAAATTGAATTGAAAAGGAAATGGAAAGATTTAAGGGTTTGGGTCTGGGTTTGCTTGGGGGTCCTTGTCCACTTAAAAGAAAAAAATGGTCAAGGGGGTTAAATGGAATTTTAATAATCCTGTAATGTTTGCAAGGTGTGTGGATTTCAAGAAATTGTTTAGGATTATAAAAAGTGAAGGGGGGGGGTTTGGGCCAGGGGGGAAGATAGTGACCCCAATTCTTATGGGCTTGGGGGGAAGTAAAAAAGGCTTTATGAGCCCCAGAAGGGTTTCCCCAGAACAAAGAATAGCTTTATATAAATAAGATTAATATAGGGGAGTATTTGGCAGTTTATAGTTTTGTGAAAATTAACTTTTTGGGAATTTTTTATATTTTGGGGAAGGGTTTTGCAGGTTTTTCCATTATCCTTAGGGGAAATTTTCCCCAAAAATTTATTTGGCATTAAGTGGCCTCTTAATGTTTGTTCCGGGGTCTGCTAAAACATAATATAGTAGGTTTTGTCAGTGTTAAGTGTAAGTTTATTGGCTGTCATCCAAGTCGATATTTTGAGCAGCTCCTCATTAACAATGGTGTTGAGGGTGGCAAGATTGGGGTGAGAGATGACATAAGTTGTGTCGTCAGCAAAGAGAATGGGTTTCAGGTGTGGGATACGTTTGGAAGATGATTGATGTAAATGAGGAAGAGCAGGGGTACAAGGACACTTCCCTGTGGAACTCCAGTATCAAGTGGCCGTGTTGATAATGCTGTGTCTTTAATGGTGACATACTGATACCTATTAGTAAGGTAGGATTTGAAATATGCAAGCGCATGGCCTCTTATACCATAATGGTCAAGTTTGTGGAGTAGGATGCCGTGGTCTACTGTGTCAAAAGCTTTTCTTTGGTCCATAAAAATTCCTAGCGGATACAGTACGTAGTTCCAAGAACTCCCACCAATAGAGTTGGAAAAATGTGTGTATCCTTTGAGATCTGAAATTAACACACTGACTCTCCCACTGAGGTAAGGTGACCCTTAACCCCTTCAGGGTCCAAGGCCCAAATCTGAAGTGGTGCCCCAGTGTCCAAGAATTTTCAAAAAAAAAAATTGTTATTTTTTCTTATGAAATAGTAGAGAATCTTTTTGTGAAGGTAATAAAACAAAAAGTACGAAATTTGATGGAAAATTGACGAAATTATGCTCTCGCAAATTTTGATGTGTCAGCGATATTTATGAATCGGCGATTTTGCCGACTTTGACTCCCATTTTAGGCCAATTACATTATTCCAGTCAACCAAATTCTTAGCTATTTCACTAGTATTACTTCTGTTCTATCGATTGAGCACAAGAAATCGCCAAGTCAACTGTTTAACTACAAATTAAAAGTGATCGGAAATTGTTAATTTGGCAATTTAACACAAAGTTCAAAATATTCCAATTTTCCCAAAATAGGGTCCAGAATAAACAATGTAGGTATTCCTGGAACTAAACTAACTTTTTCTTCTGTTCATTAGTTACGTTTTGAGGCTTTACAAATAAATTCCATTTTGATTTTTTATTCACATAATGAATTTTTTATTCACACCAAAAAATAGAAGATGTACTGTTATGCAATACTGTAATAATTGAAATAAATATCATCACCATATTTGTGAATGCATATTAGACCACATCTGGCGTGTATTAGACGTGTGAGGTCGTTTGTTTACTCTTGAATATCGGAAAAAATTTTAACATTCTGCTACTTTGAGCTCAGTTTCAAGCCTTTTCCCAGGCTAAACCCAATCAAAATCATCTCCATTTCTGTAATATGTCTTCCATTCTATCAAAATGAGACCAAGAAATCGCAAATAGAACTATAAAAAACATACGAAAAAACACTGCAAAGTCGCTGTTTTAATCGAAAAATCATGATTTCAGTTTTTTCTCTCATTATACACAGCGTGCTGTAGGATCTGGTTTATGTGGTGCACACATACCACATAGATGTATTCTCTCATATCTAGGCCCAAATGTACCACTCACAGTTTATCAGAGTGAGCTGAGCTCATGACGTAGATCTACGGTTTGGACCCTGAACGTAAAGCCGTAGATCTACGGGACGGACCCTCAAAGGGTTAACCACTTCACTGGCCGTGGCGTAGTACTATGGCTTTGAGGTCACTGTCCGTGCCATAGTATTACATCTTGAGCTCAACTCAGCTGTGAGCAGTAAATTTGGACCTAGATATGAGAGAATATGTGTACGCAGTGTGCACCATATAAAAAATCCTGCAGCACACAGTGCATATTGAGAAAAAACTGTGACCGCGTTTTTGGTTTAAAACAGCGACTTTGCAATGTTGTATTCTCAGTTTCTTGATCTCAGCGCTGAGGTCAGTGGTCACGTGTGGTCATACCTGCCTAAGCTCTTGGGAGTTAGCGTGGGCTGTTACCAAGCACCATGGCTTGTTGTAGTGTTTTAGAATCTCAGGTTCAAGTGTTGAAGAAGGAGATTCTACTTCTTCAGGAGGAAAATAGGAGGCTGAAGCTTCGCATAGATGAGTTTGGGAGCGAGTGTGAGAAGGATTTAGCTGGTAAGGAAGGAATGGTCACCAGCAGTGATAGTGGCAGCCGCTTTAAGTGGCAAGTGGTTCACAGTTCAGGAAGAAGGAAGATGAGGAGATTTAATAGAGAAGATGTGAAGGTAGAAAATCAGTTCTCTCTTCTCCAAGATGAGTGTACTTCAGTGATTAGTGAGGATGAAGGTACCACTGATTTCCCTGTTAATCAAGGTAAGAATATTTTAATAGTAGGCGATTCTCAGGTAAGATATATGGACCGTGCATTTTGTAACTGAGATAGAAAGGTCAGACAGAGAGTGTGTCTTTCTGGAGCTGGTGTTGGTGACATAATCAGCAGGTTGGATAATATTATGGCAGGTAATGGGAGCAAGCCCATTACAGTGGAACCTCAAAAATCGAACGTATCACATATCGAACGTTTCGAAAATAGGACCATTTTTCGGACAAACTGTGTTCCTATTATCGAACGCGCCCCTATTTTCGGACCACCGGGTACGGGACGTGTCCACGTCCCCGCGCAGGCGCCGTGAGCAGTCTAGCTTTGTTTATGCTTGAGTGAACACTAACCTGCGCTCTCATTCACACATTTTATGATTATTTTGTTGTGTTTTGCTTGTGGGACTGTGAAATAAGCTGCCATGGGCCCAAAGAAACTTGCTAGTGGTACCCCTGTGGTAAAGAAAGTGAGAAACACCATAGATGTGAAGAAGGAAATAATACAGAAGTATGAGAGTGGTGTGAGACTTGTTGAGCTTGCCAGGATGTATGGGAAAAACAAGTCGACCATCGGTTCTATCCTGCCAAAGAAAGAACAATCAATTCAATTCAAAGTTTATTCTCTATAAGGATTACAATGCTGAGTTTACAGAATTTGGTTATTGTGTGGTTTACATGTAGTAAAATAATAATTACAGAGTGTACCACTAGAACACCTAGCATGGCTAGGCATTTCGGGCAGACTTAAATTAAATCTTAAGTTTAAAATATTACAAAATTATGAGGTAAGTTGGTATTATGGCTAAGTGACTAAATACTAGTTAGTGAGTTTAGCAATGTGAATGCTTTTGTTTTGGCACTATACATAGTTTCAGTATTGGAGTATCACAGGCCAACTTATGACTAGTTAAGATTCATTATTTTGAGATTGAGATTGATATTTGTTTATGGTCAAATGGGTGAGTGAGTGTAAGTGTTAACCACCAGGTGGTATTCGTGTAATTAGTTGACAGGGTGTATCAGGGACATAGGATGTTTTCTGATGGTAGTTTTGAAGGTGATAAATGTGTCTGCAGTTTTAGAATTTTCAGGTAGGGTGTTCCAGATTTTAGGGCCTTTGACATACAGTGGACCCCCGCATAATGATCACCTCCGAATGCGACCAATTATGTAAGTGTATTTATGTAAGTGCGTTTGCACGTGTATGTTTGGGGGTCTGAAATGGACTAATCTACTTCACAATATTCCTTATGGGAACAAATTCGGTCAGTACTGGCACCTGAACATACTTCTGGAGTGAAAAAATATCGTTAACCGGGGGTCCACTGTACATTGAATTTTTGGAAAGGTTTAGTCGGACACGGGGAATGTCATAGAGATGTTTTGGTCTGGTGGGTTTTGCCTGTGGTTCTGTCGCAACTATCAAGAAAGCGTTTAGGTCAAGGTTAATATTGGAATTTAAGGTCCTGTAGATGTAGATTGCAAAAGTAGTAAGTGTGGATGGGACTGAACAGGGAGTAAGTTAGATCTAAGAAGAGTGGGGGGGGTTGTTGCCAGGGATGGGGTTTTGTGATTATTCTTACTGCGGCTTTTTGTTTGGGGTTTTTATTGGCTTTTAGGTGTGTTTGCTGCAGTTGACCCCAAGCACAGATAGCATAGGTGAGGTAATAAAATAAGTGAAAAGGTAAGTGTGAGAAGGGCAGTTTGCGGCACGTTTGTTTCATATCTTGGAGAGGATCCCAACCGTTTTGGATACTTTTTTGGTTATGTGTTGGATATGGGTGCTGAAGTTCAGGTTGTTGTTGAGGGATAGGCCTAGGAATTTGCCCTCATTATGCTGGCAAATTTGAGTGTTGCCGATCTTAATGTTAATTT